AGCCAATGCTCGGTTATCTGCTGCCATAACAGTTTTGTAAAGAGCAAAAGGCCCAGCAATGCCCCTCCCACGCTACCACAGCCTCTGCTGCTCACTATGTAAATCTGACCTTTCAAAAAAGGAGTTATATTAAACATAGCATTTTTCACAGTGGGAAGATAAATACTGTGTTTAATAGTTTGCTTCTGAATTTAACTTTGGGAACAATGAAACTCTGCCTTGTATTGTCAATGAAAGCAACTGGGACTAATCATTTGACAGTAATCACACATTCATATCCAGATAAATCTTCAGGAAAGCTCGAGGGCTATGGCAGCAGTGGCATTCGCTGCTGCAGTGACACAGCCAGCACGTGCGGTGCCTGTGCCATGCCGAGCCACTCCTGCTGAGCTCCTCCAGCTATTGACTCTCCCACAGAGCCGCCGTCGCCGGCAACAGGAGTCCACTCCTCCGAGCGGCGGCAGGACGTGTCCTGTCATCAAGACAGCGAACTTGCAATAAAATCCCAAGTGTGTTTCTCGTCGAGAAGTTACTTTCAATGGCAAAGCTTTTTCTGCCAGCTGTTATTCTCCCAGTGGGCTCAGACCTGTGGTACTTAATCCTCATGGCTCCTGTCTGATTTGTGGGACAGGAGGTGAAAGGATGCTGTATCTCAAGTTACTATTAAAGAAATAAACTGCTTTGATTGATACAGAATACACATCCTAATATGTCTACGCTAGTTCTTACACACAGGTAGTGAGATGAAGCAGCCTGAATTATATAGGAAAACATTAATTTTTAAGGTTTCTTAAAATCGTAGGGAAAAAAGAGGTACCCAGTATAGAAAAACACAGTTCTCCTTTAAGACTTCCAGGTGCAGTAGCAAGCCTCTTTGAAACCTAAGTAGGTGACCCACATTCTGCACAGCAGGCTGAGGGGGAAATTCCAGCTAGAGACACGAGCCCAGTGCTTTGCCGCAATCCCATGCTAAGAGCAGAGCTTGGCCTTTCGAAGGCAAAAATCAGAGGGAAAAAGGAGATGAGGGCTAATTGGAGTGTAGTCCTTCTCCTCCCATTAAAATTGCCCAGCCTGTATGTTCCTCCCTCGTACGATGCAGGTGTTTCTGTGCAGACCCCTGGCCCTATGTACGCCGGCAAAAGAAGCGATTGCCAGGAATTTGTGCTCCTGCAGAGTGGGTAGAAACGGCAACAGCAGCAGTGCTGGCACACCAGAAAGGGAGGGATGTTTATACATCCTGAAATGCTCCAATGCTGCAAATTTGCAACATGCAAACTTCTTCTTCATTAAAAAACAGAATTTTTTCCCCAAAGCACTAGAGGCAAAAGAATCCTGAGCAGTGTTGCGAGTGTCTGATTTTCATTATCTGAGGATGAATGGATACAATCTGTAATGAAATCCATGCAAAAATCATGGCCTGGTGATCGAAACTCCAACTAATTACAACAATTAAGAACCAGAGCATCTGTGTGCTCATCTGCACATTTTCTGTGCACCATCCTGATAGCTGAACAATGATTCTTCTCAGGAAGAAAGGAACAAGTGGAGATACCTTAAAGCAAATTGCTTGGCAGAGCAATTCTTTTATTCAGATTTGCATGACTCTTAATAGAGGACATTTAGCAAGCCTGTGCAATTGGAGTACTGGAAAGAATCCTGAATATTTACTAAAGCAATGCATGAAAAGATCTTTCTTTTACCTGCTCAAAATAATAGCTAATTCAGAATTGCTATTGTCTGCTGAGCGGGGAAGAAAAAATTCCATAATCCCTTGGAAATGGTTAATATGAACAAAAATATAGTGCTAACTGGCTGTATAACATTGATTTCTTTAAGCTGCTGCCTCAATTACTTCCAAAATGAAGGCTGACATCATTAATATGTCTCTTTTTGCCTAGCAAATTACCATTCATTTGTAAGAGTAGCAGGGCTACTACAGTCTGCCCTACTGCAAAGGATGTAAAATTAATTTAAATAATTACTGACCTAATTCCATTTCTCATGTTTCGTCCAAACTGCCTGGAAGTGCACTTTTCTGCAATCTGCTTTCTCTCTGAATGCAGCCTAATGCATTGACTGACCAGTCTGCTTGCAGCCATTTCCACTTTCCAGTGGAAGAAGCGATTCTGCTTGGAAGCGTGCTCTGAAGCTACATCTGCCCGCAGCTTCTTGGCAGTAAGAGGCCCTGATTTCCATGCCTCATGGGACAAGTGAGATGGCCCAGGTGTGGAAATGCAGTGAGGTTTCTTCCGACACATTCCTGCACAGGTCCAGGGAATAACACAGTGTATTGATGGGCATCATCAATATTCACCCTCTGAGGGTCTCCACTGCAAATAGTGATCTCCCAGCCGGAAAGGAAGAGCTTTCTATAAAATCAATTACATTTAGTGCTCGTTTAATTTTAAGAGATGTATATGGGTGCATGGAGAAGCAGATACCATGTGCCCCCATGATCATTGTCACTGAGCACCACTGGGGATGGAGATGCAGAGCCACACCCCAAAGGCAGCCCCTGAGGGGCCTCCATAGCTTAATGTGGGGGCACAGGCTGGTTCCTGCAAGTATCTGTACGTCGCACCTCAATTTCTCAGCTTTGTAACCAGTTCTCCCCCAAAACCAGGTGACTTTGGTGCCCTTCATCTGCCAGAGGGGACAAGTCAGCCTCTGCCAGCCTTCCCCAGGCTCCCTGGTCCCTCTCCACCCTCACCTCCCCAGGCTGCGGGGCTTGTCACAGCACCTTCCTCTTTTCCCTTTTCTGCCCTCAATCTGCTGCTTGAGCTTCCTGCTAGGTTTGTGAATTTGTGTCTAAATGCTTAATTTAGGACCTTTATTACTTTTTCATTAAGCATTAATTAATGCCTGCCTCTTAAGGTCAGTATGAAATAGAAGATGGAGGTTGGGCATATGTTAATGAGAATCTGACTAATTAAACTGGGGACTTGTAGGGAAGAACTTTGACAAGTAACCAACATGATTTAAGCAAAGTATATTGATTTAGGAAATGTAAAACTGAAAGAAAAATTAATTGCTTAAGCGTTTTATTCTCCAGAAAAGCCTGATTCATAGTTAATCAAATATTTTAATTGAATTTATCTCAGGCTTCTAAATAAATTTAAATAAAGGATTATGCTTGGATCATCCCTTGGATGTCTGGAATTTCATAATGACAAGATAAAGATCTTCATCCGAACCGGCAGCCTTAACTCCGCATTGCCGTGCTCTGGCTGCTGTAAGCTGCTCAGTACTTGAGTGCAGTTTTGTAATTCTCAGAAATCACTCAAGTTCACCCCTAAGCCTTGATATATAACCTGGGTAGACTAAAAAGCAAGCAAACCTACTAATCCGTGTCTTACTTGCTAAAATGGGCATCATCATGGGAATAAAATGGCTGATATCTCAAACGAGCCAAAGTACCTTGTGCACATAAACAGGCACAAGCTGTTTTTGCCACCTTTTGTGTGTGATTGCCTACAAAAAAATCAAGCAAAAAAAATGTAGACACAGAGAGACAGAGAGGGAGAGAGAGCAACTGAGGCAGCAGTACCTAGCTGGAGCATGCAGAAATGTCTGCACATCAGGTTTGGTGAACGGTGTCACCACGTACTGTCACCACGTACTGTCACCATGACTGTGCATGGCAAATTGGAGTGCTCATAACATGGGGTAAGATGAAGCCTCTTCTAATTATTTAATGTATTTTACAAATGAAGTTACTGGAATAATTAACTGACTGATCAACTGTGTCCTGCAGAGCTGAACATAAATATGAAGCTAAAAATAACAGCCATAATAATGACTTTATTGGTGGTCACAAAAGTGTGATAAACATTTTAAGAGAGAAAGCTCTGCAATGACAGGGCTCTGGTTTCTAGCTAACAGCAATGAATTACAGTTATGTCGGGAGAAACTGTAATTAAGTCCTTGGATCTTGACTTCAGGGATCTGGGATAAACAGCTTCTGGCCAATCACACACAGAGCAAGGGAGAGATCTCCGGAGATTTCTGCTCCAAATTGCCTGCTACACAAGTCACAGCCTGAATTCAGCAAAGCACATCTGCATGCAGCTGAAATAATATGAGTTAAGCTCACTGGAAGATAGCTCCATGCTTTAGATTGAATGTTTCCCTAGATATTCTTTCTCTAAGAACATACTCAAGCATGTATTTTTGTGCCTGAACTCGGAGCCTTAACTCAGAGCCTTAATTTCTCCATCTCAGCACCCAAGATGTGAAACAGAGCACCCTTTGCCTATCTTTACCTATTCCAGTTGTATATTCTGGTGAGCAGGACATGGTTTTATCCTGTGTTTGTAAAATTCCCACCCTGTGGAGTTCCATCCTTCACCGGGGCCACCAGACATCGTGAAAGAGTGAAGATTAATAGAGAGTGGTATCGGTTCCTGGGGTCAGCCCTCAAAGCAAGAACAAGGACTGGGAACAAGTCAGGTCACTTCTACTCTGGCCGCTGCCCAGTGGAGAATCTGAGCTGGAAGCAGGATAGGTTACACATCTATTTGCTTGATTTTTCTCAGACTCTTGTTGTAATAAAAACTGAAGTACATGACTCTGAGAAAATTAGGTTTTGGTCCTCCAGTCAAAACTGAGAAATAAATGCATCTGACCAACAGAAGTGACAGATCACATTGCAGTAGGAAAAAGAGCCTAAACAACTAATGGGCTAAGTAATAAGGTTTTGGGTAAACTGAGAGCAACAGAAGAAATTGCTTTAGAAATTGCTTTACATAAAACATTCGTTGAATACATTGCTTTTGTGAACATAAAAGCCTGTCTCTGTGGATAATTTGTCAAGGGGAAAAGGCACTCAATTCAAAACAATGAAGTCTTCTTTGTAGGCTATGTCTCCACATTTATTTTTATTCAAAGGTCTAGAAGACAGTTCTATTAGAAATATCTGAGCAATTAAGCAATCTACACATCGTTCCCTTAAGTACGTGTTTGGCGGGACAGAAAGAACATAGTGTTATTTCCAAGATTACCTGGTGAGATGAAAAACGTTCTCCACAGTTTCTTGTCACGAGTAACATCTCGAATTTCTCTTGTCATGTTAACCAGTCTACCTGCAACCGGTGGCACGCGACGGAAATCCAGGATCCTGGAAGAGAATGAAAAGAGATAGTTTATGTAAAGGATTAAAATATAATGATAGTGATAGGTTCATTACACTCTGAAGGCACATTTATCTGTGGTCTTTAAGGAGTAAAAAGCCCTTCAACTTTAAACTGGATAATCCTTCGTATAATACATTACAAAATATGTCCCAAATATGATCAGCTCTCACTTGCCTACGTAGTATGGAGCAGATGCAAATTACAGAATAGTATGGGGAAAAATTGTTCCACAAAAAAAATGATACATAGAATTGCAAAAATGAGAGACAGTAGAAACTCCTTTTTGACTTTGTGCTATTTTGGGATTGTTAGAACACGTATTTCGCTCACCAATATTTTAGGTGACTTGAGGAATGGGATTTCAGCCTCTTTCTTCTATCAACACCACCTAATAGTAATTTTTTTTTCTGACAGTCTTAGTATTTGTTTGATTTATTTGCTTCTGCTCCTCTCTGTACCCTTACACCAGCCTAAACAGTCTCCCTGAGACTACAAACCTTCCCATGAGCAAAGGCTGGGTGAAGAGCCTTTCTCTACCCATGAACTCCTCTGCCTTAGGAGATCATCAAAAGCTCCCTACAAAGCATTGCTATTTGGTACAGTAAAAGAGACAAGTTCCCATACAAAGCCTCTCAATAGGTGGGATTATTACGTCCATTGTCTGTTGATAAGATTTCCTACATTGGGTAGCAACTGCTTTTCCTACTCAGTGTGTGGATATTTAACATAGCTCCCTGCAGGAACTCCATTAATGTTTTTTCCTACAGTACTATCTGCTTAAAATGGCAATAAAAAATAAAAAAAGAGAAGGGATCAACACCAAGGTCAATAGCAACAAAATACAGAAAATCCTTGAAGGATCTGACCAGGATGGCTCTTAACGGCAAGTCTACCCTATGCCACCTGCTGACAGGTTCCCTTATCCTAACTATCAACCCAGAAGGCAGCAATACTACACGTACCCCCAAATAATTTGTGGCCCCAAAGCTTCAACCTTTTGAAAGGATGTTTCATGGCACTTCAGAGCATGAAAGATGCTTCAGTTCTAACTCAGCCTGTGAAATGTCATGGTTTCTAGCCATACTGCTAATAATTCATCACTAATTATTAATCCCCACTCCTAATCTGGGCAGGCTGAGAGAGCTGCAGTCCCTTCCTAGCCTTGGGGTATCGACCATACTCTGTACTAACTCTGTATGGGGGGACATTTTCAGCTAACACGAGCATGGGATGACCACCATTGCCCTCACCTTTTCACTAACTTGTGGCCTAAATATGCTCCTGATATGGGATGGCTGCAGTTTTTTGCTGTGAAACCAGAACTCCCTCCCCATCTCACTTACTTCTCTTTGAATACTCACACCATTCCCCATGTCTCACTCGGGTTTGCGTGCCCTGGAGCTAATCAGGGTGAGCCAGACTCCCAGCACACTTATGTGACATATTCCCCGGGAGATGGGTCCTCTCCATAAGCACTTCAAGATCACAGGGGAAATTCATTTCTCGGTTTCTCTTCAGGATAATTTCTCTTTCTTTTTGAGAATTACTTCTTGCCAGGTTTCTCATTCCCAGAGCAAGTCACGTTTCCTAATTATTAATCTACCCTTTCTTCATCTGCCACTTCATTTATTCATTGTGTTTGCCCACCTTTGTTCCATTTTTCCCTTCTTTAAAAGTCATTCAGTTACAGGGCTGGCCAAGTGCAGAAACTTATCACAATATTTCCACTTTTCTTTCAATCCAAATCCATTTTACTTGCCTGTCCAAATGAAATGCCGCTATTTCTGCATTATGTCTTTCATAGTCTGAGAAATAAAAAAAGTCAGGTGGGGTTTCTTGTTCTCTGGTTTGTCTGCAAAGAAAAACAAGGAGAATGTTTTAATGAAGGGTTAGTATTTCTAAGGAGCAGTACTCAGTCATCAATCAGCATGTTATTCAGGAGTTCAGTATTGTTTGCTTAACGGAAGGCCTTTAAACATATTATGTGTGCATTATTTGTCATGTAGCCTTCATTTTGTCTTCTTTTTTAAACTACTGTAACAAAAAAACAGGAATTCAAGACTTGTGCATGCAGGCTGCTGTCACAAAGCTATTCCACTCCAGATTTTTGCTCTATTTAACAAGATCTGTTTTATCACTCTCAAACATTTCATTAGTGTTAGCGGTGAAGACAATGTCATTTCATTAAAATATCATTAACTGTAATTATGAAATTTCCAAAAGTAATAACATTTTCCTTTCATCTTTGGCAGCCATGCAGCTCCTACCTAAAGAATGACTCTTCCTTTGTATTACTTAGAGCCAAAAGTGACATGTTTTTCTCATTTCAGAAGAAATGGGATCATTGCAGTTTGACGGCCACGACACATGTCATGTTTCAAAGAACATTAAGAAGACCGTGCTTCAGAGAGGATGCAGAATTTGTTGTTTCTTCAGATTAAGAACCAATAAAAGATGTCATTCTGATGGAAATAGAAAGGCTAAAGCTTCAAGACCAAACCCCATGGAAAACAGAAAGTTCTGTATAACAGAGGAGCAGATCTGTGTCTCACTTCAGGCAGTTTCCAGTCCTGATGGCTTTTGGATGGAGCACAACTTCGGCAGTTGACCAGTACATGTCTGGGCCCCACCTCAACCTGCATCATGCCTTATTTTGAAGTCTTAAATAGGAGATAAGCACTGCAAAGCTGTTCTGCACAGCATCTGCAAGGGAGGACAGTTCCTCAGAAGAGGAAAACAAAGCTCTTTCTCATTCCCTGCTGTTACAGGTGGCCAGATGACAGCTCCTGCGTCACCCACGCCACACACTGGCAATTAAACTACAGCTTCTGCACCGGGAACTTGCTGCATGAAAGGCTTTGGGGTGGTGCTGGTGCAGAGCTCAAACCTCCAGAGAATTTGCAGTAAATCCTAATTATGAAGCTCCTTGTGAACCCAAAGGTGTGTCCACCCATGACCATGACTACTGGGACTGGTAAATGCCTGCAAGCCTCCACATTGCCGGAGAAACTGGGTAAGTCTCATGGGTTTTGGCTATAGCAAAACTTTGCTATGCAAACAGTAGGGTTTGAAAGGCTGATATGCTTTCTCAGATGTTCTTCTTTATATTTAAATCTTGGCGAGGTACGCTATCTCGCCCTAAATGGTGAAAATGAGAAAAAAATCAAGACATTTTACTTGTGTCCAATATAACTCCCGGTCAGAGGGGCCTCCAACACCCCATGCTCTGGCCAAAACAGCACTGACCATTGTCATAGTAGTGGTCATGGAGGTGGCCAACACTTGGCAGAAGTTCTGCTAGGGTGCTTTGAGGCTGCAAAGAGGCAAGATAAAAGTGAGCCTGATATAAAATAAAAAATAACATTTTGCTTTGTCTCCATAATACATGCAAAAGAGGAAGGAGCTCGCCCACACAGAGGAATAAGGGAGAGCCAGAAACTTCTGACACGTCACACAACACACCATGTAATCAAGACAAGAGCTGGGAGAGGTGCGACTTCATTGTGCGTATTCCCCTCATAAATGAAGAAATGAGCCCTGAATATAAATTCAAAGGAAAAGATTAACATATTTCTGTTAGGCAGAAAATTACACATTCATATATAACTTATCAGTACTTAAAGGGGGCTCATAAGAAAGATGGCTTTTTAGCAGGGCCTGTTGCGATAGGCGAAGGGGTAATGGTTTGAAACTACAGGAGGGTAGATTTAGACTGGATATAAGAAAGAAATTTTTTACAATGAGGGTGGTGAAACACTGGCACAGCTTGCCCAGAGAGGTGGCTGATGGCCCATCCCTGGAAACATTCAAGGTGAAGTTGGACGGGGCTCTGAGCAACCTGATTTGGCTGAAGATGTCCCTGCTCACTGCAGAGGGGTTGGGCTAGATGGCCTCTAAAGGTCCCTTCCAACCCAAACCACTCTATGATTCTATGATTCCCTCCCCTCCAGATTTTAAAATAGTTGATTTCTTCAACAAATGAAAGAAAGATTCATCCCAAGCTTCTGCAAACTTTACACATATCAGCACAGCTGATAAGTTGCAGAAAATATTACTAATTAGCTAATTAATGCCATCTGCTTTTTATCTCCCAAAGATTTTAAATAAATCACTGCTATTCCGTTACAAGAAAATCTTGCTCCAGAAAATCAGACTTAAATAAGGGCCAGATCTTAATCTCGCAAGCACAGCTATACCCCCAGCCCAGCTCCTTTGCGCTGCCTGCTCGACACGCCAGGCAGTCAGCACATCACCGCCGGGATAGTCCGGTCTCTCTAATTTCACTTTTTCTCTTTGCTCCTTGCCACCCCCGGCAATGGCTGGGGATATTATTCATGTGGGAGTAAGTGTAGCTGTCCTGCAGGCTTAGCCTTGTTTGTACATACTTCTCTCCTGTCATAATGTATTATTAAGTAGTAGTGCACCCTCCTAGAAAATCATGAACTTGATTGTCCTAAAACCTTCAAAAATGGACACCAAATCCACAGTGCAACCTAGACAATGGAAATACCGGTATTTTTTGAACCTGACTGTACATCATGAAACAAACTCCCAAGTTTCTTTGGCGCTTCAGGTGCTTCCCTCTACTTACCTACAGAAAAATACTCTCCAGCCACAGTCCCCATGGTCCATGCCCATGTCAAACAACTATGGTACACACCTTTCTGTCTCTTGGAAATACTGGGTTATTCTGAATGTAGACTGGAAAGAGGATTTATCAAACCTCCAAGCTGCTTTACATTCTTTAATGTTCCTTTGCAAAGCTCTGCAGAACTAAGATGCAGCAGATCCAAACGTGACACCCTCTCCCAAAATAACCTCGAAAAGTCATTTCTGCTGACTTAGTCCAATATCCCACAGACAGAACAGGAACCTTGTTCCTTGGATCTGACTTAGCTGGCAAGAGTTTTATTCAAACACGCATTTATTCTTAATTTGCTGTCTACAGCAGCACCTAAAGAGATTCGTTGGCAACTCCTCAGCCACAGTAAGCTGCCGTACCACCAGACAACGCTAACATGTGTGATGATCATAGCCTACAGTACACAACTGAATTTAAAATGCCACATGAGCCTAGCACGGCTTTGAATCACTGGAATCAATGGACTGTTACGAGAATGGCTTTAACAGTGTTAAAAGGGCACCTACTTCATAATCCGTATTTTTTACTTTATCCAAATGTGTTTATCCATGATTTTATTTTAGCCTCAATAAAATAGTTGCTGGTTTTTAGTGTGCACAATATAATCAATGCATTGGCTGGCTTGGTGCTAATTCTTCTAATGATCTATCCCGATGTGTACGTAGAAAGAGGTAGAAGAGCAAACTCTGCCCTCAGCAACGTGGATGTACAGTCAGCAAGTCCTATCAGTTACTCTGGCTTTGGACCATGGTGGCTGGGCCTCAGTCTCTAAGCGACAGGCTGGGAAAGGGGCACGCACTCTGAGTCCCTTCCAGGTTAATGAACTATCTGAGAAAGCAACACTGGCACTGAGCCATCCCACAGCATGTTTTAAATCAGAATTGCATTTTGAAGGGGAAGAAAAACCCCAACGCTCAAGTTATTTTAGTTTTATTACCTGATGGCTATCAAGGGTTATTTTCTAATAAAATGACACACATAATAAGATATTTGAGCAAACAGACCAATATGTTGAACTCTCTGCAGAAGGGTACGCTCCTGAGGGACCATAAACGAAAGCAATGGTCAGAGCCCCTCAGTGCCAGCAGCAGCATCTCACAACGTGCAGGACACAGGTTCTGCACAGGTTGCAGACGGTGGGAGAGGATTTCTGGCAGCGGCTCTTATTTTGCAAACAGTTGGAATCTGGTGATCCTCTCTTTGGAGAAGGATTTGGCAGATATTTATAACGGCAGGTTGGGAAGCTCTGGAGGAGAGACAGATGGAGGTCTGTTGATACTGCACACAGTTAAAAATTACACAGTGGCACCAGACCAATCACAGCATACGGAAAAGACAAATCAGCACAGTAACACTAGTAGAGGAGAAATAAGAACTAAGGGGAAATCAAAGCCCATGAAAATTTCCCTGCTATGGCACAACTCAAGAGAAAACAATGGGAAGTAAAGAATTATTTTAAAAAGGACAGGGACACATTTGCATTGACACAAAACGAGATGCAACTGTGATCTGATCTTTTGGCTAGAAAAGCAAGTCATGCTTACAAATGTAGGCAATAAAGCTACTCTGATAAATGAACAGAGTCGGGAGTAAATCTGGTGAGTCAGCTCCATTCTGGCTATGGTCGGGACCTGTTCTGGTGTTCAGCAGTATTTGGATAAACGACCACAGTGATTTGTGTGCAGAAATAATTACAAAGCCTCAAGCTTTTCTTAAATGTTTTCTGTAAATATTTGTTTGCCAATTATTTGATCCCCCAAACCCAACATTAACAATTTGCTGGGGTGTTGTTTTTTTTTTCCTGCCATTCATGAAGCTCATCAGCACAGTGACACTGCAGGCTCCGCAGACTCTGGCATTTCAGAAAACACCGTTACAGAAACTAAACTTTTAACATGGAAATCTGTATTTAGTTTCCAGGATCACTCGCGTACACCTGCCGAAATTACCGGGATTAACACCCACCAGCGCCATGTATTACTCGAAAGAATCCTGCCTTGATGCCAGACCTCCCCCGCACTGGAGGGGTCCTATGATCTGTACAGCAGCCAAAAAGCTAGAAAATAGGGCAAACAGCCCAATCTGAGTCAAGTGTTATCCTGACAGACACATGCTGTCTTCCTACGCCGCAGTCCAGAGACATTTCAGAGACATCTTCTGTGTCAACCCGCGTACCTTAACTAATCGAAGGATGTGCTGCTGATTTGAAA